TTGTATATAATGAAAGGAGGCTGCGACCACACAAAGGCCACACCATCTTGGTCTTCATACCTTGGTACATTAAAGTCAACTGCCAATCTAAAGGGGGCAAATCAACTATGAGGCAATGGTGGAGTCTCACTCTTCACCAGGATCCGGTGCTAGTCTCAATCAAAATGTGATATTCTAAAGACTGTTAGGACGTTCTCTCGTAATACTGGTCACCCTCGGTATGTGTTAGATGGCTCACTTGTCGAATAAACGCATTTTCTGGAGATATCTTCAACTATTTTCACTAATATCTCTTCTCTTACTCATCTTTAAGCGGAGCCATTCCCAGATTTGCAGACTTTTAATCTGCCGTGTCTTGGCGCTGCACAATCAGATTTCGGTCAATCAGTTGTCTCAACCGCCGATTTGGTGAAGGCCTGGCGCAGTCATTTGGTTGGAATTGCCCGATTTGCCGAAGAAGAGATGGCTCTGATTGCCAATCTGAGTGGCACTTGTCCCTCTTCTCGTGAAGCCGGCCAGTCTGCTTGGGTCACCGACTTTCTACCCTCAGAACTCAACAACTACGACGACAAAACAGGTGAGAATCGCTTTGTTGGTTAGACCTTAAAAATACAATATTGTCGAATTTGGTATTCTTCTTGTTATAGACGACTTTGTCATAATAACACCATGCCTATTGTATGTTTACCAAGAACCTATGCCACTATAGGCCGTTCAGAATGATGTAAGGACGGACAGTTATAGTCATCACAATAGCATAAGTAGACGACCAATGATTTGCATTTGTCCTTGTTTCCCGAAAGGGTTTTTCATCCCGGCCGGAATGTAGCTTCTATCTTATTTTGGTCTTATCAGCAACCCCAACGGGATCTGAGCTACAGCCTGGAGGACAATACTCATTGAGCTGAGTGAACTTAAACTTCCTATCCATACTTTGTGAGACGTTCAAAGATCATTCCCTCCATCAGCTTAAGCGAGCGTAGGTGATTCGTATTTTTGCTCAAGATCCACTGATACTATCGGCACCTACTTAACTCGTATTTTGCATATTTCTATTCTCTTTCCACCTATGATGGTGATATTCCTTCCTATACAGAATGACTTTGTCTTACATGATGCGAGTGTAACCAAATAAGCTTTCTAGGTTGTTTAACCAATTTACATTTCGTGTAAAAGTACGAGCAGAAGAGGTTGGTTGGTCGATCCTATCAGAATATGACGACAGATTCCCCCCGGTATGCTATAACTTTAGTCATTTACTGACCCAGCCTTCAAACCTTCCTTCCACAAGGATAGGCAAACTTGTAAGGAAGTAGGGAACTAAAACAGTCTTCAAACAAACTTTGCTACATATCGTGCATATTTAGGTTTTCGGAACTACCAGAAGATCAGGTAGATGAGATATGTTTACCTTATTTCGTTTAAGGCAATGAAGGACTTCAGTTTTTACCTCGCGATTCAAGTCCAGCTGGAGGTGCTGATGATACCAGAGCGAGGCCGAAACTGCAGTGCTCTCTAGCCCGGATCAGAAAGACTTTTGGGAAAGCAAGGCTATTTGAAATTCAATGATACCATTCGGTACACTCATTTGATTGTGAGGAAATTTCACTACCAGTCCTTCATCACCTTAAACGAACTAAGGTGAACACATCTCAAACTGGTACACTTTTTTCTGGTATGCCTCCCTATATGGGCAAATCAGTCCTTTATTCAAATCAGGATTTTGTAATACAGCACGATCATACAGTCGCCATTTTAATGGGGAAACCTGTCGCCCCATTCTCTAAAAACCAACTGAACCCCAAAATATGTAAACACAAATAACTGTTCTATTTATATTGAATATGTTTCCATAGTACCAGTATATCTGGAATAAGAATTCTATTCACCCTAAATCATACAAGGTGATAGTTGAATTTTACCACAGTGAGGTGAATAGGCTTCACTTTTCCATTGAAGTTCACACACACATATATTCATATGCATATGTATAACGTCGTGTCCTCTACATTTTGCAGGGTTCCGCAGTCCAAATGCTGTTCCAACACTACCTTCATCTACCCAACCTCCACTTGTTCTGCGCCCACTGGGCCCAACAAGTGCGGGAGGGTATAGTTCATCGTCTGGTGCACTGTCTCAACACAACCGAGTCACCGTCCATCAACTTTATCAGGCTTGGTCTGACCTGTTTACGAGCTCGCGTCATCAGCTGCGTCTGATTGGTTTGTTGGCCGGGCTGGACAGTCGACTGGACGCGGCGTCCATGGTGCTCGAGGGCTTGATGGCGATGGTGTTGGCAGAGGAGGCGGAGAGCAAGAAGGAAGCGACGAACGTGATGATTCCCATGAGGGCAGCGGGCCGGGAAGAGGCTGTAGCGGACGAGATCGACGCTTCTGATATCAGAAGCCCGTCAGGCAATTGTCCTCTCGGTCAGCAGTCGGTCTACGACGGGGGCTTGATGGCGTCATGGGCGGTCGAGAGAGGATCCCCGTCAGTCCGATTCCGGCAGCCCAGAAGAGGGCTCACCACGGAGGCTCCGAGTCTGTCGATTTGCACAGAGTTCCGCCAAAATTGGGCCGAGAACTGGAGCGGAACCGATGCTCAGGAGCAGATAGTCGCCTGGGCCTTGGCCAACCAAACTGACAGGCTACAGCGCGTCCAGGTAACTCGATCTTCGCCAAGGGGAAGTCATGGTTAGATGGACGACCGAGATGAGCACTTCGACACGACCGCTGTCCATAACCTCCTAACTGACAGTTTGCATTTCCATCCCCAAATAAACGGTCTACTGGCGATAATCCAGTAGACGAACTTCC